GGGTGGTGTGTGTGGGGGTGGGGGGTTGGGGGTGGTGTGTGTGGGGGTGGGGGTGGGTGGGGGGTGTGGGGGTGGGGGGTGGGGGGGTGGTTTTAGTTTAGAGAAAAGAGACAGCACTATCAGCCTAGCGCCCGGTGTATCCTTCCTCAACGGGCCATTTTTCTCGTTAATACTAATAGTTTCGCTGTCTGTCTATCTGACAAGAACGCTCTGTCTGACAAGAACGCTCTGTCTGACAAGAACGCTCTAGAGAAAACACAAGCAAAATAAAAACATGCACAGTAATTCGAAAAACGAAATATGACGTCGACACATTTAGCATAGAGTAGAACATAATCTCAAACCAGAGAGTGCACACAGTCATATGACGTCATTGATTCTCGCGTAAACATTGAAAACAAGGAAATTTTGTCTAATCTAAATGGTTTGCGTGAAGAGTTTCTTGCATATAATTCTTCGGGTAGGGGCGAAGCCCCACCCCCCGCGTAAGAACGTCTGAGCCCCCCCCCCCCTCCCCAACTCAAAAGAAATGTCTTCATCGATACTCTATAATAAAATTACCGCCTAATTAATGTGTCTAATCTAAAAAGTGGTTTTCTTGCAATTTCTTTAATGCAATTCTTCGGGTAGTGGCTAAGCGCGACACCAGTGTTTCTTTCAGACTTTTTCCTCCCCGGAGAGGGGTGGGGGTAATTGAAATTTTCGGGGGCGGGGGTAGAATTTTCGGGGAGGGGGGCGAACACTGGAAAAAGTATATAATTATATTTCGTTGAATGGGACGGTAGACATGTTTTTTTATGGGAGTGGGGGGTGGGGGTGGGGGGTGGGGTGGGGGTGGTGTGTGTGTGTGGGGGGGGGGGGGGTGGGGTGGGGTGGTTTCCTCATCGATACTCTATAATAAAATTACCGCCTAATTAATGTCTAATCTAAAAAGTGGTTTTCTCGCAATTTCTTTAATGCAATTCTTCGCGTAGTGGCTAAGCGCAACACCAGTGTTTCTTTCAGACTTTTTCCTCCCCGGAGAGGGGTGGGGGTACTTGAAATTTTCGGGGGCGGGGGTAGAATTTTCGGGGAGGGGGCGGACACTGGAAAAAGTATATAATTATATTTCGTTGAATGGGACGGTAGACATGTTTTTTGGGGGGTGGGGGTGGGGGTGGGTGGGTGGGGCTGGGGTGGGGGTGGGGTGTGTGGGGTGGGTGGGGGGTGGGGTTGGGGGTAGGTGTGTGTGGGGGATGGGTTGGTTTTAGTTTAGAGAAAAGAGACAGCACTATCAACCTAGCGCCCGGTGTATCCTTCCTCAACGGGCCATTTTTCTCGTCAGAGTAAGATTTACACAGTGACGTTGTGTGTTCCTTAGGTAAACCTAGTTGTTGCAACTCATTGGAGAGAGTCTCGCCATCTACATCATACTTGGCTGCACTAGACAGAATAAAAGACAGAGCAGCTATGGAGGCTTTGGTGTCTCCAGTTTCAAATTTAGCATTAGAAGTTAACTTGTGAACTTTATCATAGTCTATTCCTTCCCCAAGTAAATCTTTTAATACTTGAACTGCCAGTAGTTTGATCTTTACTGATGTAATCTTTGAAAGTATGTTAATTTCTGCAAGGACCCAATCTGGGCAGTTTAGATCTCCACAAAATCTAAACCTCATTTTCGTTCTACGTGGCTTAACTCAGCATATATTAATAGGTCAAATATATTAAAAACCAAAGGTTTACGGGGAACTACGAACAACATTAAATGCATATTCTTGGAATGTAATAAGTTGGAGGTGTAAAAAGTCGAATGTATAAAAATTTTGAAAGTACGCCTAGGGTAAATTACTAGTTTAAATTAAGTTCAATTAATTGTCCGAACTTGGAATAAATTAATAAAAAATGTAAAGAAACAAATTTCGAAAGTACGCCTAGAGCCGATTACTAATTTAAAAAAAAATAAACTTACTATTTCGTAAAGTGTAGTACTCTAAACGCACTTGTCTCCCTTGATTGACTGACTGAGAAATCATCTTGAGGTTCGCTACAACAGCTGCCTTTTAAAAGAGAAATCTTGTAACGTGTAACGTCAACTTTACTCAAACAAGAAAACTTGTTCTGGTTTATTAATGTGGGCATAACCTATTTTTGTCGATATGGTGCTACTCACATTATCAGTGAGATGTAATGTTGGACATAAAAATATATGACTTATTGTTAAATTGTGCTACTGACATTATCAGTGAGTTGTAAGATGGGACATAAAAATATACGACGTATTGCGCAGATTAATCAGCAGGTTGTAATCAATTATTTTGTACATAAAAATTAAAACAAAAGTTGTAAACAAAGTAAAATCAAGAAGCAAGTTTGTTTAAAAATTCCAAATAAGTTTTAGCAAATATTAATCAAAAGCGTTAATAAATGATCATGATCCATGAAATAAAATAAATAAAACGTTTGAAAAATGTAACACAGCGTCAATTAAATTATACTAAGTCCTGATTTGAATAGCGACAAATCTGTTTGTTTGCGGACGCCACTATTTGGTTTTTCGAGTAGTTGGTCTCAATATTTCACCGTTTGTAAGGTTTGGTACATTGCTTTTGATAACTATTAAACGATCCAGTTTCTTGAGGGAAAACGGTCAACGTTACACAGTCGTAACACAAACCGAATTCACACTTTGCCCACCCAAGCCCTATTACAACCCGGCGTTCTCAATCAAACCATTGACTGTGATGATTTATGACTTTAACAAATATACTTTATTTCTATCCCCTTTCCGTCGAAAAAAACAACAACAAACAAATACATGATTTTCGTAAAATATATAATTACACGCGTGGGTCTCTTCCTAAATAGTAGTACTATGGTTGTTTACTAAACTGAAACAGGCGGTTCCGCCGGCGCCTCAGCATGGGCGATTTGGCGCCCCGTGCTACACTGTGAGCACTTTGCATTTATGTTTGCGTTTGTGTTTTCTTTGTGTTCGGGTTGGGTTTGCGTTTGTGGTTGGGTTTGTTTTTGCATTTTGATTTTTTTGTTTTCGTTTGTATTTGTGTTTGCGTTTGTGTTATGTTTGCGTTTTTTGTGTGTTTTGGTTTTGGTTGATTGTGGTTGGGCAATGCCGGGTATATGCTAATTTCTTAACACACATGTTATGGTCCTTTACAGAGGCAAGTGCAGGGCCTGGCCGGGACGGCTGGTATTAGTAAAAGTGTCCAAAAGATAATAAAGTGACCCACGCTTTCTTTATAGTTATTTAAAGGGTTGTGTGTTATTATATATTTAACGAAAATCATTTATTTTCACATTTTAGTCCATTATTACAAAAAAGCTTGTTATTTAAACGTTTTTATGAAAACAAAATGTTAAAATTGTTGGGCGCTTCTTTTGTATATTAATGCATATGCTACATTAAAAACAAAATATAGAATCCGCAAGAGAATCAATTATTGAACAAAAGTTCATCAATTAATCATGTGTTGGGTTGAATGTTAACACACCTTTAGATGTGTTTTATGTCAATGAAAACAAGACTGTCCTGACATAGAAATAGTATAGTGTTTTAGAATGGAATTTAAGTAGCATACATATTCACAATTTAAGTTAAACTTCATTCAATAGGGCTATTCGTTTTTATTGATTTATCGATCTTTCAGTGCAAATTTGTGAGTTCCAGTTGCAGGATATCTAAGGATTCCCTAAATAATCGATGGTTCGTTATTGATTGGTTTTACGTAATAATGGAATTTCCCAGAAAACGGTTAACATTGCTGCTTGATGAAATGATCGAATGTTTAAGCGAGTGAGTTAGTAAACATAGTACAAGAACGATAACTCAAGGTAAGACACTACTTTGTTGTTGTATGATTTAAACTAATATAAAAATGTAAATGACAACAAGTTGATTTTATAGCAAGAATTATTTTTAGAAATATTCTGTCTAGGCTACTTTACCAACTGAGTTGTGGCATTTAACCCTGCATTTGTTTATTTTTAGTAGCGGAATACATCATAGTTTCAGTTTTAGAGCTCTTAAAGACAGTTGAATAAAATAATATTACTTGTTTGTGTCAGTACATTAGTGAGATTGTCATTATTTAATATCATTATTTTGACTCTAGATAATCTCTAGACCAGTCCATCCTTTACCTAGCCTTGACCTTAACCTCGATCGTCAGTGGCCAAGTCCATTTGTTTTAACCCTAACTCTAAAGATGATATTAATAGTCAACTAATAAAGCTAGGCCTACCTACAGTTATTTCTCTCATTCTGCTATTATTATTTGAATATTTGATTCATTATTTTGTTTGTTAAATATCTAAAAATTATTTTTCTACGACTTGAGCTTTATACTTTAATTTCCATGGAAATCGATGTACAAATCAACATATTATGCAGCAATCTTTTCATGTTACATTTTATTTTTTGAAAACAGAACAAAGAAGACGAAAAACGATTGTGTGTTTAACAATCATCGAAGTGATGGCATCAGAACAAACTACGTGAGTGATCGGATGTTGCTTTGTAATTTCCTCTTTGTGGGTGGGGTGGTTGTGTAGTAGAGCGCTAGATCCGCAGTCTTAGCTATCTTGGTTCAAAATCCAAGATCTCACGCGACTTAGAAGGGGCGTAGGCGTAGATACAGCCAGCTCTATTACTGTTATAGGTTCACTAATGCATTACATTTGAAGTGGTAATTGCCATTATAGCACTGACCGTTGGCCACTTGAGTAGAAACACTTGGACTAAAATATGTCTTTCTCAGTTGAGTACACACACCTTAGATCACGTGACAATAACCAACACAGACACAACTAACAACTACCAACAGAGGGAGGGCTGAAAACACACAACAAAAGGGTTTACAATTCAATGAAACGTGCCAGTGCCTTCTAAAAATAGAACAGGACTTTCCCAAGATTTGTTTACCCCCATAAAACCATTTTCCTAGTTCGTCTATTTCTGTATCGGGTTTTCCCAAACCTCGCGTATCCCAAGAAAACAGTTTCTTACAACCAACGGGGTGGTCTGAACTCTAAAACAACAACAAAACAAAGATCGCTACACGTGTCATTAATTAAATCAATGATTTCATTTGCATGAATGGCTGATTGTTAATACAAACAAGTAGTTTTGTTTTTAAGGCCTAAAATTAAATTTGTTTCAAGGCTGTGCTATTGTTAAAATGTAACTCAGGTTAGGGAGTCTGCTTGATACCTTCCATCTTTTGCCAGCTACCATATCAAGAAAGTTAGCCGTCGTGTTTCTAGCAATAAAAACGGTTTAAAAGATGTACATCACGGGTTTTATTCCCCAGGACGGAGTGCCAGCCCATCCCAGATCTACCTGACTGTGACTGTGTCACCCTCAAAGTCAAGAACAATTTCCAGGAACCATATTTTGAATTCGAGGCTAAGATACCTTACAGCCAGGATAAATATCTGCTGCATTATCTGGAGTCTGCTGCTAATCAAAACACACAGTTCATGTATATATACAAATTTCTATAAATATTTATTACACTTTAATTGTTTTAAAAAATAATATAAAACAATCTGCATGTGCATTTATGTGTACGTGTATATACACGACTTTATAATTCCTAGGTTCACAAATATTTCACTTTACAGTGTATATATACGACTTTATAATTCCTAGGTTCACGGCCAAATACTTCACCACACAGAGGGGGTTCTTTATTCAAGCAATCAACGATTTATTTGGAGTCGAGGAAAGCAAAACTTTCTGGAAGATCTTGGATGACTTCACTGACACTCCGCTGGATCTCGGTAATTAGACTAGCCTTGGTGTTAAAGAAGTTACGTACAGTGACACGTTTCAAATGCAGACAGAAAATAGGCTTAATGTGTGGTCTAGTTACCGACATGAATATTTTTACCAATACATAAAAAACTATCTACGACAAACAAAATCATCAGTGAAATAATACCATTTTTAAATTTTGTTACGAAGCTGCACATTTAAATAGGTGCCTTTAAAGTCTAAATTTCAGCCTTTCACAGATTATTAACCCCCTGTTCCTCCCTCCCACCCTCCTAAACCAATTGATCAGAAGGTGTGTAAAACTGTTTTCTCATCCACTCCAGGTGTGTCCGCCTATGTCCCCAGCAAAGGACAAAGCATACGGTTTGAGTTTGTTTCCTGGGAAAACTACAAGTGTCGAGAAGATTAAATCATCCAAGGAAACATGTATCAGCTACTGTGGGAGGATGTTGAAAGCGAAGAGCTGCGTGAATACATGGGCCAATTCTAGAGAGCTGAATACATTGTCCCTTGGTGATGAGTTATAGCCCTTTGATCCTCAGAGTCTTCACAGGATTAAGTCAACTCTCCTTTACCTGCACTATAGCATCATTATGTAATTAGTACATTTATAATTTCACTTACATAATCTGTATGTAATTAGTACATTTATCATTTCACCTACAGCATTTGTATGTAATTAGCACATTTATCATTTCACTTACATAATCTGTATGTAATTAGCACATATACTTTTACACTTACATAATCTGTATGTAATTAGTACATTTATCATTTCACCTACAGCATTTGTATGTAATTAGTACATTTATCATTTCACTTACATAATCTGTATGTAATTAGCACATTTACCATTTCACCTACAGCATGGTTATGTAGTTATCACCTCTGTATTAAAAGTATTTTCAATATTGATAGCAAGTAAAAACACGTACGATTCCCCTTCCAACCTGATAGTCCATGGGCCAAGTGAAGTAGAGTTCACCTGTTCCTGTTACCTCGGCATATGAAGGGATAATGTGGTCAGCACTATGCCGAGCAGCCTTTTGTGAGTCAGGCCCATCATAACGTTTTTAATAACATAGTAACGCAGAATTTTGCTATCTTTATATTGGAGTTCATTATTTATAGTATTTTTTATTATTGGTGCTATGCCGGTGTTTTGCGGTTTCGTTAAGTTAATTAATGAGTCACAATTTACCAATTTTTGAAATAAAATCAGATCAGTGAAATACTTCCTTTTAAATGTATTTATATTTTATTGTTAACAAAATTTATATTTATTGTTGCGTGTAACACACACACAATATATATATATATATATATATATATATATATATATATATATATATATATATATATATATATATATATATATATATATGTGTGTGTGTGTGTGTGTGTTGTGTTGTGTGTTGTGTGTATGCGTGTCAACGTGTACATTACTTAAAGCCTTAGAATAAGGGCCTCGATACTCAAATAATTTTAAACTGAACGTTTGACCTAATCAATCGCGTGTTTAACGGTAATCGATGAGCAGACTAGCAGCGTTATTGAACAAAAAGACAGTTTTATAAAACATTTGAATAATTAATTCGTTTTTACACAGCAAGTCGGGTGTGTATGTATTTCATGTATTTCATACACTTTAATACAACAAAGTGGCAACGAAAAATTGGTTATGAATTTGCTAAATTTCTTAGACTAGGCCTAAATTATTTTCAATATTTAAAAACATAAAGTAAAAGCATAAACATCGTTTTATAATTATTTCCTAACCACGCAGTTTGCCCCGAGAGTCGCCCGAATACCACACAAAGCTGTTGTATTATTTGTGTTGACATAACTCAGCCACACGTCCCAGTCCTACAAACAAGAGTTATCTGGACTTGGTCGGACGTACAGAAAATGTTAAGCTAAGATTTAGTGAGCGTTTGCTCAGGTGGAACGTACCTTTTTGTATTATGTTGTTTTTTATTTGGACACTTTTTTTTAACGAATTGCACAAACTGCTCATTTGTTGAGAGATTTTGGTAATTAATAATACAATTTTTGTATATTATGCAATGCCTTCCAATAGATCAATCATTCTTATGTATACGTAGTTATACTGTTCATAAAATGAAATAAAAACTGGTCAATTATTTTAGTCTTAACATTTTTAAATATTTAACAAAAAGTACCTCGTATAAACTGAGTCAGCACATGAAGGTGGCAACATGTTTTTTTTATGGTCTAAAGGATTTTTTAAAAAAATAGGCCTTATATATTTTTTCTTTACTGTTTTCAGGGATTCATTGAACTTCATAAAGTGAAGTACTCTACATTAGAGTTTAATAATGTAAAATACCATACACTTTTAAAAAAACAACTTGACAAAGATGTAATAATGATTGTACCTTTACAAATTGGTTAGGTACATTGTTTTTGTTATGCTTCTAGCACATGCCGCTTCACAATTTGAAAGATCAACACAAAACCTCGTCAACATAGACTCCCATGTCAACAAAGTTTGACACTTCGACAAGAGGTTAAAAATAGAAACGTTAATGACCAAACAACACGGCGTCAAAACACAGAGAGTAAAAATGTGAAAGATTCAGAGGCGTCTCGATGCGGAGGCGGAGGGTGACACCAAGACAAAAAAAATTGCAAGATATATAGAATAATGTTTTTGCCAGTTCAATGAATGGTTGATTAGAATTAAAAAGTATTTTAAGTACATAATGACGATCACATTAAGGGAGCGGGTTGAGGGGGGGGGGGGGGTTGTGACTCATGACATAGCCTGCTAACTATAAAGAAAACAATGCTACATCCAGCTGTATTAAAAAACTGACTACATATAAACATCATTAGATTAAATGTGAACACTTTAAAGCTTTTACGAGGGAAAGGGGAGTGAAACCAACTGCAGAATTTTCAGAGAAAAAAAGGGGATGACATCATGAGGTGTCGCACCGGGTGACACCCGACCTAGCGACGCCACTGTAAAGACTGACACGAGAAAGGTGTGACAACGAGGTCAAAAGATAGAGTGCAAGACAACATGAGGTTGTCGAACTTCTAGAGCCGAGACTTGAAGTACTAAAATTTTTTAAAGTTAAGACAAGCTCGAACGTTTAAGGTCAAAATTGTTCGGCCGGTGGGAGAAACTTATTTCTCTGAGCTGTGAGCAAACATAGGGGTCAAAAGGTCACGTTTTGTGAAGGGAAACACTAGCAAAAACAAGACATTGTAAGATCTGTTTTCTTCAGTTGTACTTGAAGAGTGCGGTCTTACTGTCAAATCTGGACGCTGGTCAAACCCATTGTATTTCTACAACTGTTCTTTTTACTGTGGTCCAACAAATTATATTTCTGCAACTGTTCGAACTGTGGTCAAAACTAGTGTGTTTCTGCAACTGTTCGAAGTGTGGTCAAAACGATTGTATTTCTACAACTGTTCAAACTGTGGTCAAACAAAATATATTTCTGCATCTGTTCGAAGTGTGGTCAAACCGATTTTATTTCTGCAACTGTTCAAACTGTGATAACGTGACTAGCTGCGAGTAAAATAAAACCTTAACAATCTTCCACGCCTAGAATAGTTGAGCTGAGTTTAGTTTCGAATACGCTTGATTGGTAAATGAAACAAAACTAGTTGCATCAAGTCTTCAATATTTAGCTTTGATTAAACTTACACGATCCAACATCGCGAAGAATCAACTATCAATTTCAGTGCAATGATAAATTGAACATTTTTTTATATACGAGTATTTCGTAAAAGGCATGGAGTTGATATTTTCTGGATCTTTGATTTCTCTAGCAGGTAAAAAGATAATTACACCAGTGGTTTGTTCCAAAATTTTTGTTTCCAGTAGTGTTTTTAAATGTATTTATCATGTATTTGTTGCTGGAACCTGATATTGAATCTGTTCTATGCATGTTTCAGTCTTAAGTAATTTAATCTAAAACCCCTACAAGAGATGGTTCCAAGCAGTTTAAAGCTCACTCTACCATTTCAGGTTATAGACGTTATTGGGGTAATTTAAAGAAAATAATCTTAAGTCATTTTTTCAAAATAAAGTCACATGTAATTTTTCGACCGAGTTCTTATTTTTTTCTTTTGTCTTGACCAAGAGCTGTTTTGTCTGGTGTATCTGGTCGGCTGTCAACAAGCTGACCCGGACAGCCTCGACTGTCGGGCTGTAGGGCCAGGCCTGTATCCCGACCCCCAAGACTGTGGGGGATACCTGCAGTGTGCTGAGGGCTCCAGGTATCCTTTCTTTAAGCAATGTGCAACAGGTGAGGCTTGTCTATTATATTAGTTTTTGAGAAACTATTCCATGTATTATTTGTTTTTGTGCGACATTAATAGAATTTAAGAAACCTATTTTTTTAAATTATTGCTTGTAATATCTAGACAGGATGCTGTGGTTTTCTTTTATGTATTGATGAAAAAAATATTTGTTATTTTAATGCCTACAAAGAATGATTCGGGTTGTTTAAATATAAAGACCAATTGATTTGCTTACATGGGTTCGGCGTGGTCGAGTCGGTAAAGCTCATGGTTGCTAAACCGAAAAGTTCGAGTTCCAACCATCGGACAGATGAGGCTCGTTAGCTGGGGACAGCCACTCTTCTAGGAGATACAACTCCAAAATCAAACAACTGCTACCTTGTAGTTTGTTCTTGGTTGGACAAAGGCTATGGAAGCAAATCCAAAAAGAAAAGTAGGCTGAAATCGGAGTCAATGGCCTCAATGGCGCAAAACCAGTTAACACGTAATCCTTAATTGTGATGGAAGCATGGTCGAGTCGGCAAAAGCTCATGGGTGATAAATTCGAAAAAGTCTCGAGTTTGAACCCTCTGGCAGATAAGGCTCGATCCCTCCAGACACTAAAAATTAAGAACGAAGAAGAAGATTTGCTTATGTTTTCTCAAGTCCGAATTGTGTGAATTTTTAATAATATTCTTTTTAAAGAATGACCAGTTTAAAATCAAATCAATTTTTTACGCTTAGCTTCTCAGACATGAAATATCGATTGTAAACAGAAGCGCCTACAGCGTTATGAATACACTTCCCCCCTATGTTAATATTACGCTATCAACTAATGTTAAGAACGTCAGCCTGAAAAAAAAACGTTATTCAAACAGTCACGCTTGGTTTGTTATACATAGTGCCTGATCAAAACTACGTCATGTTGAAATCTTAGCACCCTTCAAAGTGCCAGTTTTCGATCTACCAAAGGCGCATACTAAATATTTTCAACACCGTCACAAGCCCAAATACACTAAATTCTTCAAGTAGTTCTTTGCAATAATAAAGTAATATTTCTACTCTATACAAAATATATTAAGTAAGCCGGTAATTAAGAATATATTTAAATTAGTTTTTAATGTGTACATTCAACCGTACTTCGAACCCACGATGATGAATA